GGCCGCGGGCGGGACAGGGTGCAGCCGGGTTCATGCAACGTCCCCTTTGTCCCCTCAGCTACATCGTCTTCAGCATCGTTCCCACCATTGCAGACATAGTGATCGGCATCATCTACTTCACCTCGGCCTTCAGCGCCTGGTTCGGCCTCATCATATTTGTGTGCATGAGCCTGTACCTGGGTGAGTGGCGGGCTCTGGGAGCCGGGTGCCCGCACTGGGGCACGGGCACACGGGACAATGAGGCCAAGTCCCGGGCCGTGGACTCACTGCTCAACTTTGAGACGGTAGCAGCGGAGGGGCACAGGGCGGGCGCTGGGGTGGCGGGCCGGGCGCTCACCCTGCTGCTGTGTGGTGCAGGTCAAGTACTACAGCGCCGAGAGCTACGAGGTGAACCGCTTCAACGACGCCATCCGCAAGTACCAGGTATGGGGGCTCAGCACCCGCTGTGGGGTGCCGAGGGGAAGGGGGCAGCCTCATGGGCCCCTCTTGTCTGGAAGGAAGGCAGCAGTTTTATGGAGGACCTTGCCTTTTCCAGGTCTCCGAGTGGAAAGTTAGCGCCTCGCTGGGCCTCCTCAACCAAACTCAGAACCTAATCATCGGCCTGGGGCTGCTGGCAGGGTCCCTGCTCTGTGCCTACTTTGTCACTGAAAGCAAGCTGCAGGTGAGGCTGGTGGCAGCCTGGGCAGCGCCTGCCTGCGGTGGGGCCCCGGTGCTGGCAGTGATGGGCCCCTCTTGTCTGTCCCTACCAGGTGGGAGACTTTGTCCTCTTTGGCACCTACATCATCCAGCTCTACACACCACTCAACTGGTTTGGGACTTACTACAGGTAACGCTGGGAGCAGCACGACCTTGGGAATGCCTGGAGTCCCTCAGGGCCAGCCCTGCCCCATCCTCCTGAGCATGTGATCTCCCAGGCCCTTCCCTCTCACCTTCACCTTGTTCCAGGATGATCCAGACCTCCTTCATTGACATGGAGAACATGTTTGAACTCTTCAATGAAGAGCAGGAGGTGGGTGTGATGCAGGGTACCCCCATGCTTGATCACTCCCCAGTTCACCTCTCACTTCTTAGCATGTATCACCTCGGGCCCTGCATCCTCCTCCCCACCTCGTCCCCTGAAAAGCAGTAGGCCTGCAGACGTGTCCCCAGGACCTTGCTCTTCCCCCAAACCCTGTGCACTGCCCTGTCCAGACGCCCTTCCCTGGCACGGTCCTGTGGTCCTGCCCCTGGGAAGGCACTGGCTCTGAGGCTGCACCTCTGCACGTGGCAGGTGAAGGATGTGGTGAGCGCTGGAGACCTGCGCTTGGAGGCCGGGCGGATTGAGTTTGAGAACGTGCACTTCAGCTACATGGATGGGTATGGGGCAGCAGCACAGGGTGTTGGGCAGGATGGGTCCAGCTGAGCTACAGGGCCTGGCATGGGCACTCAACCCCCTGTCTCCCTTCTCCAGGAAGGAAATCCTGCATGACGTCTCCTTCTCCGTGATGCCCGGGCAGACCTTGGCCCTGGTGAGAGCGGCGTGGGGGCAGTGGGGTCAGTGCTGGACAAAGTAGGGCTGGGAAGTGGGACTGCCCCATAGCGACCTGTGACAGGCTGGCTTCACCGCCTCTAGGGCTTGGTACCAGCAAGGTCTCAGGGGTCTCCAAGACATTCTTTGTTCATGTGCAGGTGGGGCCTTCAGGCTCGGGGAAGAGCACCATCATCCGCCTGCTCTTCCGCTTCTACGACGTGCAGGGTGGTTGCATCCGCATCGACGGGCAGGACATCTCCCAGGTGAGAGATGGGGGCTTCCTGGGGCTGGAGAGGGGACAACTGCTCCGGTCACCCTGGCGAGGGGACCAGCGTCTCCTCAGAGCAGAGGTGAGGCAGGCAGACACGGCTGCCTTTACTGGCGGGACCCCGCCGCCCCGG